AGTCGACCACTTCCCCCCAACCTCCTCACTCCAATTGTGCAAGTAAACTAAACATCATCAACTACAAGCATTAAAAGAAGATAATGATTATTTGAGAGCATGAATAAAGCAGAAATGTTAAAAAATGGCACCATGGTTGATGTGGTTGGATCTCTGCTCTGATTCATAAAATGTTGAATCACCTAATGGACTGTGTGCTTTACTGTTAGGAACATAAGATCTCATAGCCCAGAGGTAAATTTGTATGCCTTCATAAAAAGGATAAACAAATGGGTAATCTGTTACAGTCACTATAACGAGAACAATCTCCACAATAATTGTGGACCTGTGCTTATCTGGCTCAACAGCAATGATTTAGGGTCTGCAGATGTCCTTTTGACTGTGGTAACATTTGATGTGGTCAGACCCACCATCTCCCTTAGTTCCCTTTGCTTGCTTTCCACAGAACTATGCTCATCACATTTTCCTTCTACAGAGCTAATTACTTATGGAGATAGGATTTGTTGTTAGTTGCAGATACTTATTATCCAAGTCATTTACTCACGCCACAGATTTGGTGATCTCCATGTACACTTCCCCTAGAAGGCTCACAGGTGTTTGAACTTAGATGTTCTCTCAAGTGCCAAAACTAGAAGAATCTGGAGTTAAGGCCTCTGGTTCCAATAAAATTGTATGTGGAACCAAGAGAGACCCTGCCCATCACAGCCACGTGAAAATGCTGAGCCCAAGACCTGTCCTTGGATGGTTCAAAGCAGCACATTCTATGGATTGGAAAGTGTGGGATATGGGAGTGGATGGAAGTCAGGGCAGAAACTGTCATGGCCTTTGGGTGGCCAGATGTGAGAACTGAAATGAACTCCCACCAAAACTACTTTGGGGCCGAAGTAAAATGGATCCTTCTAGATCTGGCCACACGAAAATGTCAGAGGATTAAAAAAAAAACACACACTACCAAATAATTTTTTTCTATGGCAGTTGTCAATCGATGATATTCTAATTCCATCATTCCTTCTACATTTACTAGTTGCTACCAGACCCATCTATCTTTGGTTGCTGGCTCTGCCACTCCAGCTGTGGAATCTTGGGCAAATGAAAGGAAAGAAGCCAAGGGTCAGCCTAGAATTTTGCATCCAGTAAGAAAGACCTTCAGAAATTAGGGTGACACCTCCTTCTCTCCTTCTCTCTCTTTCCCTTGTTCTTCCCTCTCTTGCCACATCCTTCCCCCTCTCAGGCTACCATGCGGTTGGTAGAGCTGCAGAGGCACCCTGGTGGTGGCATGGGAACCCTCTAGATTGCAGGGCAGTGAGGACAGAAGCGGACAAAACAGCTGTATAGTTGTGTGTTTTAGTCACCACACACCCAGGGATGCAGGTGGTGAGGAGGTAGGCGAGCCATGGGAAGGAACAGTAGAAGCAAACCTGCATTGCATGAAGGTACTGGAGGGATGGGGGAAAGTAGGCAGAGGACTCAGGCACTGTGGCTATGAGTGGGATCCTCGAGCATGTAAGTGTTGAGCAAATAGAATGGAATACAGGTTTCTCACTGTTGGAGGAAATATTTATAAGCAGAGAACAGGCAGAAGCTAGAATGAATCCTAGGGGCTGGTTCTGATGGGAGGAATTCAAATGTGAATAACTCATATGTGAATAACTCCTAGTTCATTACGCACATGCATGTGTGCACATGTATGAAACCTAATTATGAGCTTTTTGCTGAGAGGTCCCAGAAGCAATGGCACGCTGGTAACAATGCACAAAGCTAAAAGCAGGTCTTGGTTTCCAGCAACCAACCTCCATTGAGGGGATCTTATTCTTTGGTGAAGTGGTAGATACCAGGGCTACGTCTTGAGCAGCACAAGATGAGCCTACAGTGATTCCTTTTGTTAAATCATACAGCCATACAGATCTTCCACTGGCCAATCTGGGACGACACGAACATGAAAACAGAAAACGATTGCATCACAATGCAATCCATTGAACCATACAGGAATTTAGGAATCCTTTGGACGTGAATAAAAGAGAATGGATGGATGATTAAATAAATACATGGGGTGAAGGGAAGCCTCTTCCTTCAGTAGATTCCTACTAATTAATGTTGAGGGCTGATGTTAGAGAACCATCCTGTTGGTTGTTCCGATGGGAGCTGTGATAGCTAAGGCACATGAGTGTAAGGTGACAAGGAACAACACAGTGGGACAATCTCAGGACATCTCCCCATAATGTGCTAAATCAGTTGCAAAGACCAAATGGTACACATAAGATGGAGAGATTTGGCAGATGCCAACCTGACCAGGTGATCAAGGTGAACATAAGCACCGTTAGGATGGGTGAACACCGTGCGTGTCCTGGTGTGAAGCACTGGGAAGAGAACAGCAACGTTTCCCAGGTCCTCCTACCGAGGAAATGTGAGCTGAGTCTGGTCTTGAGGAAGCCCAGAGAGACCCACGGGGAGGGTCATTCAACAGAACGAAGTAGGGCAAGGATACGAAAGAAAGGGAAAGTCAGCAATAACAGTTTGATACTGGAGAACAAGGAAGAGACACAGCGACAAAGTGCACATTCCTGGTGGGTAATTCCAACCAGAAAGGAAAAGGAGATGTTTCGGATCCGTTGGAAAATTTGAGCATGACCCATGGATAGAGCAGTGGTGATGTGTCTACACTGATTTTCTAAATCAAAGGACAGTATGTTGTTATTGCAGGAGTGTCTTTGTTGTAGGGAAAACCACACCAGTGAGTTTACGGTGTACACACATTGCTTTCAAGTGGTTCAGAAAAAAAAAAAAGTGATAACAGAATAAAATGTACAGAAATTAGTTAATAAATCAAATGTAGTAAAGTATTAATTGTTGGGGTATCTGGGTAAGGAAGAAAATTATGTATATTTGAAATGATATCAGATTAATAATTGTAAAAATAAAATTAATTCAAAGGCATTGAATTTCTCAATTTTTAAAATGAGGTTGGATAGTGCTGAATACATCTTTGTTATTGATCACATTTTTTTAAAGATTTTATTTATTTATTTGACAGAGAGACACAGCGAGAGAGGGAACACAAGCAGGAGGAGTGGGAGAGGGAGAAACAGGCTTCCCGCGGAGCAGGGAGCCATTGCGGGGCTCGATCCCAGGACCCCGGGATCATGACCTGAGCCGAAGGCAGACACTTAACGACTGAGCCACCCAGGCGTCCCTATTGATCACATTTTATTACCTTTTTTCAAATAGACATTTTGTATAATTTAATGGGAAAACCAGTGAGATAAAGATATATTTAGATAAATACTGAAATAACTCATATAGAGCAAATCTGTACTTCAAAAAAGCTGAAGGAGGTGTTTCATACTGAAGGAAAATTATACCAGAGGAAAACACACAAAAAAGAATTATTATCAGCAGAATTGGCAATCATGTGGATACATGTGTAATCTATATTTTATCATTTCTTATTTTCTCTAAGAGACAACTGGCTCATGACAGCAAAAATAATAGCATTAATTGTGGGTAATAACATATGTAGAATAAAAATTTATAAAAACAATATCATAAAACATTATAAGGTATATGGAATTACACTATTGTAAAATTCTTACATAATCTGTGAAATGGGTCAACAGTAGTTCTAACTGGAATGTAATACGTTGGAAATCCACTTTAAAACAGCTACAATCAGCAATGTTCACAAAAGCCAAACTGTGGAAAGAGCCGAGATGCCCTTCAACAGATGAATGGATAAAGAAGATGTGGTCCATATACACAATGGAATATTACTCAGCCATCAGAAAGGATGAATACCCACCATTTGCATTGACATGGATGGAACTAGATAGGATTATGCTAAGTGAAATAAGTCAAGCAGAGAAAGACAATTACATATGGTTTCACTTATATGTGGAATATAAGAAATAGTGCAGAGGACCATAGGGGATGGGAGAGAAAACTGAATGGGAAGAAATCAGAGAGGGAGACAAACCATGAGAGACTCTGGACTCCAGGAAACAAACTGAGGGTTACAGAAGGGAAGAGGGTGGGGGGATGGGGTAACTGGGTGATGGGTATTAAGGAGGGCACATGTTGTGATGAGCACTGGGTGTTATATGCAACTAATGAATCGTTGAACACTAGGTCAAAAACTAATGATATATTATATGTTGGCTAATTGAACATAATAAAAAATAAATAAAATAAAACAACTACGACAACCACTAAAAATAGTTATACCTTAACACCATTAATTTAAAAAATACCAGACTGTCCCAAAAGGAGGCAAAAGGAAAAAGAGAGAAAAAAGCAGATAGGACAAAGAAAAAAACTGAGTCCCCAGTTTCTGTATTTCAATGATAAACTAGAAAATCTGAGTAACAAGTTTATAGATGGCAGCTGTAAACCCTCCTTAATATTACTTCATTTATCCAATCGATGAACTTCACTGAGGGTCAGCCATGTAAAGAAAACCCACAAGGTATAAAGGCAAAGCAACCCACTGGACAACCCGATTTTCTGTGTCGGACTACAGCATATTAGAGAAATAGGAGTGAAATGCAGTAATCAAGTCAGGCAGAAAACACCTCTCCATCTACCAGGTTTCTTACCTGCATCTGTGAAACAAAGCCTCTGCCCCCCCTCCGGCGTAGTATTTACCTGTAATATTAGATTGTGTACCAGTGTATGCGAGGTGTTCACCGTGCCCACACGGAGATAAAATTTGCAGAAACACTTTGAATATTCCTGAAGAAAGAAACTTTGTTTCAGCATCAGCACTGGTCGAGAGGGAAGACATGTTTCCTTAACAGTTTTGTATGTTTGTCTTTTTTTTTTTTTTTTAAGATTTTATTTATTTGCGAGAGAGAGAATGAGAGACAGAGAGCATGAGAGGGGGGAGGGTCAGAGGGAGAAGCAGGCTCCCCGCCCAGCAGGGAGCTGGATGCGGGACTCGATCCCGGGACTCCAGGATCATGACCTGAGCCGAAGGCAGTCGCTTAACCAACTGAGCCACCCAGGCGCCCTTGTATGTCTGTCTTAAGCTCATGATTGGTGAGTTGACTTTGAGATCTCCCACGGCAGCCCCAGTATCAGATTTACCCTCTAAGGTTGTATAAAAACACTGGTGCTGAGTAAATGGTCACTGAATAGAGTGGTCACGGTTATCAAAGCTGGCTTCCACGCATTTACGTCTGATCTCTAACAACTCAAGAGCAGGACCTAGGAGGCCCAGGGTTGCGAAGGATCAGCAGGAAGGGGCTAAAAGCTAGGAAACATAAAGCCAAAATACTAGAGGTCTGTATCAACCACAGACGGAAATCTACAAAGGCAGTAAGATAAAAAGTGACAACGGAATTCACATAAAAGCTGACGAAGGTGGCCACCAGCCACACGATGGTGTGGGCAGCTCTGGTCTCCAGGGGGTGTTTGTGGAAGCTGTTGGGGCTGTGAACACACGGCACTCTCTGGTGGTACCTGTGCAGAAGGGGAACCATGGAACCACTGGACCAGACCATGAGGCCAATAAACACGGCATTCCGTGGCAACCCACAGGATGACTGTGCTTGCACTGGGATGCACGGAGGAGCAGAACCACTTCCCTCGGGTGTCAGTACTATTTCCCACGTCCTGTGCACCAGTGACGCTCATGGGAACATAGGTATTCATGAAGATACTGAACATCCAGCAGATGCAACAGGAAGGATGAATGACCTTGGGGGCTTGTCCTCTGAGCATGGTCCACACCATCCTCCCCGGGATGAGCGTGAGGAACCGACAGGTGCTCAAGATGCAGGTGGAGCACATGGTGGTGCTGCGAGCCACTCTGTGTATGTAATATACAAATTTACACCCAAGACTGGACAGGCGCTTCCTCAAAACAAAAGTTGCCTCCATGTAGGGAATCCCGGCAGACAGAAAATCCAAGAGATTGGCTACAGCCACGTGGGTGAGAATCATGTGGGGAGGCCTCTGCTTGTGTCCATGCAAGACTGGAGAGAAGTTACGGAAGAGGAGGGTGACATTGGCCAGAGCCCCAGTGCCCATCTGGAAAAACAAGATGGTTTTCAGAGCCTCTTCCCCTGTGGTTCTTAGGGCGTTGCTCTGCGAAGACATGGTGAGGGCTTCAGAGTGGCCTGGAGTGAAGAGCAGGCTCTGTTAGTGCCTCAGGAGGACTCTTCCTAATTATAGGACCTCATAAAGGGATCCTGGGCCTTTTCTTCTCCTGAAAAGGGAGACAGTCGTATTCCACATGAGACTCGACCTGGAGAACATGCCACAGACACCAATTTCACATTATTACTTTGTACTTCTACTTACTTTTTAAAATTTTATTTTATTTAAATTCAACTAATTAACATGCAGTGTATTATTAGTTTCAGAAGTACAGGTCAGTGATTCATCAGTTGCATATAACACCCAGTGCTCATCACATCACATACCCTCCTTAATGTCCATCACCCAGTTACCCCATCCCCCTACTCACCTCCCCTCCAGCAACCCTCAGTTTGTTTCCTGGAGTTAAGAGTCCCTCATGGTTTGTATTTACTATTATGTCCTGACTCTTCACCAGAATGTAAACTAACATAAATTTAAGAACCATGCTTGTCTTATGAAAAAAGACGATTGACCCACAAAAAGTGTTAAGTAACATGCACTTAGTAAATAAATAAGTGAAAGGAGGTGGTCATACTGTACCCCTCTTAGAATTTATCATTATTCTGACACCATAATTCATTAACCTAAGATAATGAAGTAGAAAAATGCAAACTCATGTTCAAATGTATAAGATTATCTAACTCATTAAATTTGCAACAGTCAGCTTTTGAGAATGCTTAATATTATTCATCAGAGTGACTGAATATGATATACCTTCCAAAAAATCAGTAGCCTTCTGATTAAGCAACATGACCCTAAAATGACCTCAGAGTGACCGCAATGTGAATTTCATGTCAACTGTTGATCGCAGTGGCCAAAACAAAGTTAGTTCCCATATAGTGTTAGAAGTTGTAATAATAAAAAAAAAAAAAGAAGTTGTAATAATAGCAGCAGAAACATGATTATGGTACAAAATATTTGTTTCCTTGTTTTGATTATCTATCACTACAATATGAAGTAAAAGGTATTACAATATCAAATGGGAAAAATGCATCAGGTATGTTCCATCAAACTACTTCTGAGACTTGAAAATTAAATATAATTCATCTCACTAACATTTTTTCTCTCTCTCCTTGATGCTTCACACACACACAGAGCAACACTCTCTCTCTCTCTCTCTCACACACACACTACAAAACAAAGAAAAATGACCCCAAAAATCTCCAGAAGAATACAGAAGCAATTGCATTCTACTGCCGTAGGATTTCAGAAAGGAAAAAAAAAAATAGTCATTAAATCCTAATATCATTACACCACAGACTGTTTTTCTCTGTGAATATCTCTCTGTATGTGTATGTCAATGGACCTTATTTACATCAGCATTTTGAAGTTATAACCTGAACTCTGCACATCAATTTTCTACACGCATTCATACACAAGCCTAAAATCTGTTAGGTCTGAGAAAATAAGCAGACTCTTCTGTACATGGTTGAGATGGTCAGTGACTCTGCTCATCCAAAGGTTGGCTCAGATTCCTAAGAGATCCCGTCTTTTTTCCCGCATTGTCAAGGACTCTAGGACACAGAGATCTACAGTGACTCTCTCCACTGTGGTCCCACCCAGAGACAGTCCCGAACACATGTCCACCAGCCACCAGCCCAGCCAAAGCGCAGGCAGAGTTAGTACCTGTCCTCTACAACCTTACTACACAAACCCAGTTCTGAGTTCCTCTCCTGTTGGAGACAACTTGTCTCCTGGTTTTTGCCCTGAGACTGAACGTAAGAAACCACTCACCTGGCTGGTCCTGCTCCAGCGTTCCGTGCAGCGAAGTGTCAATCAGGAAGAGCCACAGTTATAGGGACAGGGTCCCTAGACCTCCTCTCCCCACAGAGACACCATTACCATGTCAGTGTGTCTCAGGAACACTGTCTGCCTGGAGAAGCTGGGGCGTCTCTAATGAGAAGCAAATTTTATCCCCATTGCAAGTCTTCACCAGCCACTTCTGGTAATTAATGGTAATTTTTGGTAATTAATTTAAAGTTCCTGAAAAGCTGCTAAACAACAGGCAGAGAATAGTTTCTATGTTCCCGGTGGAAGAATCTAAGTTCAGAGTCAAAGTTGCCGTCTGTGGTGGAATTGAAACTCAATGTATGGACTCTGGAAAACAAACTGAGGGTTTCAGAAGGGAGGGTGAGTAGGGGGATGGGGTAGCTGGGTGATGGGTATTAAAGAGGGCACGTGTTGTGATGAGCACTGGGTGTTATGCACAACTAATGAATCGTTGAACACTACGTCAAAAGCTAACAATGTACTATATGCTGGCTAATTGAGCATAATAAAAATAGTAATAATAATCATAAATAAAACCATAAATCATCAAAAAAAAAAGAAACTGAATGTTGGGTCAAGGGTTCCTCTTATAGTATTTCCAAATGGGCATTTCCTGTTTCCAGAATCAGGCTGACACCATGATTAGCTCATACTGAACATCTCCATTTGATCTGGAAACTGGTCTCTCCCTTGACTTAAATAACACAATTCCTGTTACTTAGGGCCCCACGTCTTCTACATCTGGAGAATATCCCACTTGAAGCTAGTCTATCTTACCTCAGAACCTGTGAGCATCTCTGATGTCCACGTGACTCCCCAAGAGCTCATTATATGCTTCCCAAATCACCCAGAGAGCACTTCTCCCTTGTCCCTCCTCGGTCAACCAGGCTGTCCTTTATTTTCAGAGTTTGCCCTGGGAAGAAGTATTCCTGGATGTACAGAAAAGATTCAAGGGGAAGTAAAATATAGCACAGATAGAGGGAAAGCATCAGAATTATTTAAAATCAAGAGAAGGGCCAAAAGCCAAATAGAAAATTGGGCAAAATAATAAAAAGAAAATTCACAAGATAGATGAGATGACCCTGAATCATATGTATGTTATTTATGGCAAGTCAGTCAATAAGTTATTTTTCAAGATTGGTTTGGACATTCTATATTTTTTGCATTTCCATATTATTTTTAGAGTAAGCTTGCCAATTTCAACAATAGCAACAACAAAGACAACACAAGTGGGATGGATCATGACTGGGATTTGTCAACTCCTTAGATCAACCAGGGGCATATATAGGGTCAGGGGGTGCGTGGAAAATCTCTGTACCTTCCTCTCACTTTTGTGGTAGACGTAAAACTTCTCTGAAAAATAGTTTGTTGCAAGTTTTTAAAATACTCAACAAAAATTAAGTTCTAGATAGTGTCAATAAGGCATGAACAATTTCTTATAGAGGCAACAGAAAACCAGACAACATTTAATTAAGACAATGAGGTATTTACATATATTTGAAAATGTTGGATTAAACTGTGTAACATTTGGAAAAGAGAATGCTGAAGTTTTTTAAAAGGCTATGGGAGTGGCATATTCTAAAGGATAAGTACAGATTTGGAAATGTATTTTTTTATTAGACCATGAAACTGATCAAATGTAAATTTGTACAAACTAAAAATGGAAAGTTTGGGTGGGTGCTAAATGTAGTGATAGCAAGAGAATCTAGAATCTATAGATGCATTCTACCATCGCTTCTAAGTCAAAATTGTCAAAGGATTGTGGTTCCTTCAAATCCAAGCTCCTACTTCCCAAGACACTCACTAAGAAAATAAAGTCATGCTTTCTAAAGTGTTCATCCATTTAATGTATTCTTCTATCAAAAGCTAAGATGGGAATTTTAAAGGTGGGGATGGGGGCTTAGGCACAGATGGCGCATCCACAGTCATACCGCTAGGACTCTGTAAAGGGACAGGCCTGAAATTACAGCCCCCACCACCATGAATTACAGTTTACAGGACAGGGTGTGCTGGGAGGAGGATGGCCCACTGTGACCAAGGAGAAGGCTTTGTGAGATTACTTGAGGTGTTCCCCCGTCAGGAGAGCACACCCTTGATCCTGTACTCTTCGTTGACCCAGAGAAGATGGGAAATGGTCAGGTGGGGATTTTTCTCTTCCACAGCTGTGAGCAGCATCTGAATCTCCTCGTCAAAAGGAGATTTGCAAAGCCTGGGAAAATAGAAATAAAGTTTTCTTGACTCTGCACATGATTGTTCGCCTCTCTACATCCCAGTGCCTACTTCCAAGCCATTCTTCCCGAGAGGTGACTGGCAAGATCGTTTTGAGTGTGCAGAGAAAGCACATATTTTTCCTAGAGGATAGGAATGTGGAGAATAGGGATGTGATCCACTCTGTTCCTTCTCAGCATGTCATCCAGGGGCCTGGCATATGGAGGGCACCCAAATATTCATTCTACGGATGTCAAATACATACACATCACATGCAAATGTGACATTCAGAACAACGCTGACTGCTGCGCTTCTAGGAAAGTGCCTCTGGGTCAGAACTGCTCAGCCCTTTATAGACCCAGCCACCATGTCTGAGCTGATGTTCCCTCCTTATGGACAATGTGAGCAGGAGGTGGTGTTTACCATAAGGCAGTGGTTCTTGCCTGGGGCAATTCTGCCCCTCCGGGGACATTTGACAAGGTCTGGAGATGTTCATTTTTTTTTTTTTAAAGATTTTATTTATTTATTTATAGAACAGAGAGACACAGC